AGATGCGTGTTTACCGTGAAATACAATTCAGATGAGTCAAATGAAATATATAAATCCCGATTACTTGCTAAAGGTTTTACTCAAACCTATGGTATAGATTACTCAAAGACATTTGCTCATGTTGCAAACTTAGACTGACCTCTACATCAATTTGGATGTTAAGAATATATTTCTCAATGATGATCTGGACGAAGAAGTATATATGGATATACCTCCTGGTTTTGAAAAAAACATTTGGATCTAATGTACGCAAACTGGAGAAGGAGCTAAAATAACCTTCTAGAGTTTGGTTTAAAAAGTTCACCCATTCCATAAAAAACAGGGATATATTCAAGGCTAGGTTGATCACACATTGTTCACAAAATTCTTCCACAATGGAAAATTTACTACACTAATATTATATGTCAATGATATTGTTCTTACTGGAGATGATATAGATGAAATGGCTAAAGTAAAAGAGAAACTAGCTACCAACTTTGAAATCAAGGACTTAAGACCCTTGACATATACTATTAGTGTAGTAAATTTTTCATTGTGGGAGAATTTTGTGAACAATGTGTGATCAACCTGGCCTTGAATATATCCCTGTTTTTTAAGGACTGGGTGAACTTTTTAAACCAAACTCTAGAAGGTTGTTTTAGCTCATATAAGGACTTCTCCAGTTTGCGTACATTAGATCCAAATTTTTTTTCAAAACTAGGAGGTATATCCATATATACTTCTTCGTCCAGATCACCATTGAGAAATATATTCTTAACATCCAATTGATGTAGAGGTCAGTCTAAGTTTGCAACATGAGCAAATGTCTTTGAGTAATCTATACCATAGGTTTGAGTAAAACCTTTAGCAAGTAATCGGGATTTATATATTTCATTTGACTCATTGGTATGGAGGTTGCTCATTAAAGAAGGTATTGTAAAATATTTCACTGATAGAATTAAAAGTTCTGTTTACAATGTTGCAACTACATGCTTTAAATAAGAGAGAATAGAAACCCTAATGGGTTTTGACTAATGGGCCTCATTACTAATACTACTAATTACTATTTACAGTCTAATATTTACAACACTCCCCCTCAAGCTGGTGAATGGATATCTATCATTCCCAGCTTGCAAGTAAGTTGTTTGAATCTTTCTGTTGGTAAGCCTTTTGTTAACACATCTGCGAGCTGATGCCCAGAAGGAACGTAAGATGTAGTTATCAGCCCACTATCCAACTTCTCTTTGATAAAATGTCGGTCAATCTCAATGTGTTTAGTCCTGTCATGCTGAACAGGATTATGAGCAATACTAATAGCCGATTTATTGTCACAAAACAATTTCATAGGGCCTTCACACTGTATCTTCAAGTCTTCTAGAACTTGTTTCATCCACAATAGTTCACAAATTCCTAGTGCCATAGCTCTAAATTCCGCCTCGGCGCTTGATCGAGCAACTACACTTTGCTTCTTACTCTTCCAAGCTACAAGGTTACCACACAGAAAAGTACAATAGCCTGACGTAGATCTTCTATCACTCACTGAGCCGGCATAATCCGCATCAGTGTAAGTCTTCATAGCTAAATTCTCACCTCTTTTAAACAAAAGTCCTCTCCCTGGAGTTGCTTTAAGATATTGTAGGACGCGGTCTACAGCCTGCAAATGTCTCACCCTCGGATCATGCATGAATTGGCTCACCACACTGACTGCATATGCTAAATCTGGTCTAGTGTGTGCCAAGTAAATCAATTTTCCCACTAATCTCTGATATTGACCCTTGTCAACTTTGTCACTTTCCTCCTCAAAGCTTATCCTGTGATTTTGTTCAATGGGAACACTTGCAGGTTTGCATCCAAGTTTGCCAGTTTCCTGCAAAAGATCAAGAACATACTTCCTTTGAGAGATAAAGATGCCTTGCTTTGAGTAGGCTACCTCAATTCCCAAGAAATACTTGAGTTGTCCAAGGTCTTTCATCTCAAACTCTGCCGATAATTTCTCTTTGAGCAAATGTCTCTCAGTCAAATCATCTCCTGTAACAATAATATCATCAACATAAACAAGAAGTACAGTCAATTTTCCTTCCTGTGAATGTTTAAAAAATAAAGTGTGGTCTCCTTGACTTTGCTTATAGCCCAAACACACCATTGCCTTTGTGAATCTTCCAAACCATGCCCGAGGGGACTGCTTTAGTCCATATAAGGCTTTCTTCAATTTACACACCTTGTTAGCTTCATTTGTTATGCCAACACCCGGTGGAATCTCCATATATACTTCTTCCTCTAAGTCTCCATGCAAGAATGCATTTTTAACATCAAACTGTTGCAATTCCCATCCACATGAAGCAGCAAGAGATAGTAAAATTCGAACAGTGTTCATTTTTGCCACTGGGGCAAATGTCTCCTCATAATCAATACCATATGTCTGAGTATAACCTTTTGCCACTAGTCTTGCCTTGTACCGATCAAGTGTGCCATCAGATTTATACTTTACGGTATAGATCCATCTGCATCCAACTGGCTTTTTGTCTCTTTGCCTTTCAATAATCTCCCAAGTACCATTTTTTTCAAGTGCTCTCATTTCCTCATCCATAGCTTGGACCCAATTTCTATTTTGCAATGCTTCTTCAACTGATAATGGAATTTTCACAGAATCAACAGCTGCAATAAAACTTTGATATTGTGTGGAAAGATGTTTAGTGGAGACATATTGAGAGATAGGGTGTCGATATAAGGAGGGACAAGATCTTTTATCCTTCCTCAAAGCAATGGGTAAATCAACTGGATTAGTGTCACAAGTATCAGAAATAGAACAATCATCATTTGAGGAATCATTTTCAGTACTTACCTCCGGTTCAGACGATTGAATTTGTTTCTGGAGAAGGTCAGATTTACTTCTTCTCTGATATACTAGAGTTGGTGCTGAAGGTGTTGATTCCTGTGGAACATAAGGCATTGAAGGACCAGGAACAATTACTGACTCAGATTCAGGTGTTGAACTAGGACTCAAACTCAAACTAGGTGACAACTCGGGTTCAAGAGAGGGAACACTGACAGGTGTTCTCGGGAGGCTAGGACCAAGGATCAGAAACTCGGACTCAGACTCTAAGTCACTCATGTTCTCCCCCTGAGACTGAGAATGAGTGAAGTATGACACATTTTCATGAAAGGTGACATCTTTGGAGACAAAGAATTTCCGACTCGGAGGATGATAACATTTGTACCCTCTTTTATTGGGTGCATAACCCAGAAAGATACATCTGACAGCACGGGGATCCAACTTGTTGCGATATTGTTTGTGAACATGAACAAAAGCAACACAACCAAACACGCGAGACTCAAGATTATGTAAGATAGGAACAGAGGGAAAACGTGAGAGCATAAATTGAGCAGGACTAATATTACCTAACACTCGAGATGGGACCCGATTAATCAGATAGGCAGCAGTAAGAACTGCCTCCCCCCAATAAGAGGTGGGAACAGACATTTGAAACAGGAGAGATCGAGCAACTTCAAGTAAATGACGGTTTTTTCTTTCTGCGACACCGTTTTGTTGTGGGGTGTCAACACATGTGAATTCATGAAGAATGCCATGTTTACTAGTGAAGTTGGAGAAGGTATGATTGACATATTCTTTACCATTGTCAGAACGAACTCTTTTTATACATTTCCCAAATTGTGTTTGTACCATATTATAAAATTGGATAAATATTTGTGGTACTTCGGATTTAGTATTCATCAAGAAAATCCAAGTTACCCGAGTACAATCATCAATAAATGAAACAAACCATTTTGCACCAAAAATATTAGAGGTAGGGGCAGGTCCCCAAACATCAGAATGAATCACATCAAAAGGTTCAGCACTTTTATTAAAACTGGAAGGAAAAGTTACACGATTGTGTTTTGCCAACTGACAAACATCACACTTAAAAAACAGCAATGATATTAGAAGATTGAATCATCATTTCCCAACAAAAATATATTTTAGATCTCTTAAAAAAAACTATAATGAGTAGTTGTAGACCAGACGATACTCCCATAAAACCTAATGCAAAACTTTGGAAAAAAGGGAAAGTTCATGTGGACATCTGGATGTATCAAAGATTGATTGATAAACTAATTTATCTGTCCCATAGTAAACCAAACATTGTCTTCTCAGTTAGTGTAATAAGTCAATTTATGCATTCTCATTTTGAGGAATATCTTGAGGCTGTATATAGAATCCTAAGGTATCTGAAAGTTAATCCAAGGAAGGACTTATTTTTTAAGAAGACTGTTGAAAGGAGTATCTCTATATGCACGAATGTTGATTGGCCAAGATCAGTAACAGATCGAAGATCTGCCTCTGGATATTGTACCTATGTTTGGGGTAATCTTGTAACTTGGAGAAATAAGAAACAAGAAGTGGTAGCAAGAAGTAATGCATAGGCCAAATTTAGAGTTATGGCTTAAGGTGTTTGGGAAAAAATGTGGACCCACAGAGTTTTAGAAGACCTGAAATTAAAGATTGAACTTCCGCTGAAATTATACTCTAACAATAATGTAACCATAACCATAACTCATTATCTATTTCAACATGAAAGACCAAGCACATTGAGATAGACCGTTACTTTATAAAAAAGAAATTAGATGCCGGTCTAATATGTCTACTATTTGCAATTTTAAGTTAACAAACTGCATCCTTACCAAAAGTTTTACTAGACTCAAATTTGAGCATTTTGTAGGCAAATTAGGCATGATAATTATCTATGCACTAACTTAAGGTGGTGTTGGAGTAACCATATAGTTTTCCTATTTATTTCTTTCCTATATTTATTTCTTGTTTATATTTGATCCTTTTATAATAATAAATCTCTCATAGAATTTTGTTTTTTAGAATATTCTCCTAGAATATTTCTTTTTCAATATGAAGTTGTAATTTCTCTATTTATACCAACTACTGTTGAAGAATAAACTATAATAGTGTTCCCTATTCTCTAATAAAAACAACACATAAATTCTCAGAAATAAAATATTCTTTTTCTTACCCTGTCTTTTAAAAATACAAGGTGGGATGGAATCAAGTAATCATAAGAAGCAACAGATAGGTAGTCAGTACCTACATGACATCACAGAAATATATGTCAGGCAACAAAATTGGGCCAAAAAAATAAGAACTGAAAGAGAAATGAATTAGGGTGTGACATCTCTCAGCTAAACATACAATATGAAGATGTAAAAAGTAGTACATTACAATGACCTGGTAAAAAAAAGGGAGAGAGGGAGATCAAGGTGCAGAATGATCTTATGAATCTACTTCACTTGCCATTATTATATTGAGTACCAGTAATTCTATGAATAATCTAATTTTTATGAATCTACTTCACCTTTTAAGATTCAGAAAGACTCTTCTACAGTTTTATTGAACAAACTAATAGCAATTCTATGTTCTAAGTTGCAAATAAATAATGCAATAGAGGTAACATAAAGATGAGGTCAAATTAATTCAGAACATTATTTGCTCACACAAGTAATTGAAAAATGCTGCCCTAAATGTATCAACAAAATAAACTTATGGCTATTCAACTCATTCATTGCAGAGCAAAAAAATATTCTAATATCTATGTGATCAATGGCGGATCGCAGAGCTTGGCGGTCTATATATATACATATATATGTGTGTGTGTGTGTGCGCGACTCGGCTCAAAGCATATGATCAAAGCTCTAGTGGCGCACATAGCAATATCAGAATCGAATTATCGTCGGCCTGACCGGCAGTAATAGCGAACTAACACTGTTCTAATAGAAAGGGGGAGTCCCTCTTTGCGGTAGATAACGCAACCGAACACAAAATGAAGCTTTCAGTCTCGCAAAGCATCTGGGCGAGCCGGAAACAGCCAGCGACATATATATATATATATATATATATATATATATATATATATATATATATATATATATATATATATATATATATATATATATATATATATATATATATATATATATATATATATATATATATATATATATATATATATATATATATATATATACATATATATGTATAGATATATATATACATATATATGTATAGATATATACATATATATATGTATCTATATATACATATATATACATATATAGATACATATGTATGTCTATGTATGTGTATATGTATGTATATGTGTGTATATATATGTATATGTATGTGTATGTATATATATGTATATGTATGTATATATATATATATATATATATATATATATATATATATATATATATATATATATATATATATATATATATAGGCGAAAACCCATGCTTTGAGAGTTCCTTTCTGCCAGCACTTTCTTTCTCTACCCGGGAGTAACTTCAGTACCTAGGACTACTCTCCCAGGATGCCAAACATACATGGAAAGTCTTCTCAAAGACTTCCCCCAGTGGCCCTTCTGGAACTTGCCCAGGCTGCGCAGCCTCTTGTTGAGGTGCGGGCTCTCCTCCGGGCTGTTCCAAGTCCCTAAAGATAGACTCCCCGCTTATGCCCGGGGAATTTATTTCGAGCGCACCAGGAAGCCGCTGCCCAGATGTGATAGAAGCATATCAGTTTCAGCCTAGGGATCAGCCTATCAAACAAAAAAAAGTAAGCGCGTATGCAGTCCGCCAGTCTTTGACTTTCTTTGAAGGCTGGGCCTTTTATTGCTCTTCTCTTGTCCCCTCGGGCTTATTATATATATATATATATATATATATATATATATATATATATATATATATATATATATATATATATATATATATATATATATATATATATATATATATATATATATATATATATATATTCATAATTACCAATATTCAAACCCAATATAAAGTAACCAAAAATGTCAACAACAAAACCAAAGAAAACATCTAAAAGTTGGGGGCATATTTGAGTCTTTACAAGAGCTTCCCAACCAAAGAAAACATCTAAAAGTTGGGGGCATATTTGAGTCTTTACAAGAGCTTCCCTCTGCAGCAGTTACTACAGTTGTTGCTCACAAGTGCAATGCAGCCAGATTTAACGAAACACTTCTGCGCAGCTATAGCGCCCACAATGACTGATATTGACTATAGAGCCTAATATATCTTCATCTAATAAATACTGCATGATATGTATGAAACATAAATATTGCAAGATATGTATGAAACATAAATATTGCAAGATATGTATGAAACATAAATATTGCATGATATGTATGAAACACCTATGAAGTCAGAGTCAAGAAAAACAACTTAAAGTGAAGCAATTTACAAGTGCAAAACTAGACCTGGCCAAATAATGACGAAAGTAGTCGAAATACATAACATCAATTTATGCTTACCAACAAGTTTGATATCGGTGTTTTCCACTAGCCATTTTGCTCCATCTACAGTGAACCCCACATAGTTTGAATCAAATTCCTTCTGAAACATCAGCCGCCTGAAAGTTCAACAAGCTTTAGTTTCTGATCTGGCTTCAAATGAGTTAAGTTATGAAACAATTTCAAGAACTCATCAACCATATAATTGGAATATCAAATGCATTTAAACAGTGGTCATAAAAACTCATAAATCATAACTAAGTCTTTCTCTTTCTTAACATCCACCCCCATTTTAATAGGCTATTGATCATGGACAATGGGGTCATGGCTGCTGATACCAGTACAATAAATAAGAATACAATTTGCTACACTCAGTTTGACATACAGGAATTGAAATGAAAAGAAGAGTCATAAGTAGTTGAGACAAACACAAATTTCGTAACTTCGGGAATTTTGCTATTTGTATTTCATGGATGCTTACTTCAAATTTATTAAATTTGTTGTAACTATCAGCACTGCAGTTTAAATTGGTTTATAGTGTAAACAAAATGTTCTGATACTTCCTACAATAGAACCGATCATTTAACATGTACTATGTCTATTACACACATTACCTGTCGGTATTTAATGTTCGGAAGAGTACGCGCTTTACACCCCTGGGGATATTTAATGACTTCATAACTTCAGCTGGAAAAGAAATACATATTTCCATTTGATCAACAATTGTTAAGAACAATAAAAAAATAGAAGTATAGTCCCAAGCTTTTCCAAAATAGAATAAGAACCCATTTAATTATAAGCATAAAGAAACACTGAAATTTAGCAGTTTATCAGAAAATTAGATTAAAATAGGCAAATTCTTCAAAAGCTGCCTCCGGACAATGGTATACACTTCGAACATGTTTGTATTGACTTATTTAATTTTATGAATTGATACAACCAACTTGTGAAACTCTTAGACTATGTTTGGATATCTTAAAATGATCGGCACGGAATGGAAAGGGAGCAAGACAGAATGGAAATGGAGCGAGGCCGAATGGAACGGAATGGTGAGTCAATTCCATCATTTGGATATTTTAAAACGGAATAAAGCAAGTTCTTCCTTCCTCATAAATTGGAGGGGAAAAATATGTTGGAAAGTGATGGAACGGAATCGATACCCAGCTCCATCCAATTTTATCTAATCAAAACAATGAAATTTAATTCTGTTACATCCATTTCATCGATCAAAACAAAGTCTAAGGAAGAGCTTATACAAACAACTTATGACAAGCTCATTAAATGGTTTCAGATTATTTGTGCAAGTTTTTCAAGATAGTCCTAAAAACAGGTTATAGTATATATGAATACAAATTGGCATTATAGTAACTTTTGTTATAGAAATACCTAACAAAACAACTTATACATCCGCATTAATATATGATAAGCACAATGAATTAAGTTATTTATGAAACCAAAATTAAACAGAAAAAAATTCACAAGCTAGATTATGCATACCAGTTATATTACTATTTCTTGGAACATCAACTAGAAGAGCAGGACCTGCAAAAATTCATCACATAAACAAAACAAGCTTAATAAAACAAAAGCAAGTAAATAAAAAGAATATAAAATAAGATGCAACCATTGAGAACGTGCAAGTCGAGTGAATCAACATCAAATCCAGCATCGAAGTAGTGATCGTAGACGTGGCCAGGTGCATCAACGTGAGTTCCGGTATGAGCCGGAAGTTTCATTTCAGAGTTATTAGCGATGGAACCGTTCTTCATGCTCTTCGGAAGCCACAGGAATTGACCGATACCGTTTTTCGATTCAAACTCTGGCATGTCCGGGTGATACCGGTGAGTGATATCGAAGATTTTTCCGTTGTCGTAAATTTCGCGGCGAGGAGGGACGAGATCGTCGTCGCCGATGACCGTTGATGTGCAAATTGCCGCCACTAAGGCTAGCGCCACCGCTTGGTAGTTCATTTTGGATTTGTTGGTTTTGGTGATGTGAGTACTGTGTCCACTGGTTTTATTTATTTAACTGCAAAATAAAATAGCAACAGCCTTTTCTTACATCATACAATAAAGAGAAAAACGTGACTAACTCTCTTTTCAACTATACAATTCATGTTTAGATTAATCATTCTCTTATCTCTTTTGCATGGGTGGAAATAGGGCACTGAAGCTAACTTTTCAAGCTAAGTTTTGTCAAGTTTAAGTCTCATTTGTTAAAAAACATAAGTTTAAGTCTCATCTGTTAAAAAACATAAGTTTAAGTCTATAATTTATCATAGATTTACTTTTAGGCTTAAATCTGATTTTTTTTTAAGGTCTAGTTAGTCTTTTAATCTATAAATCTATTATTTTAGACGTATACAAATAAACAATTAAAATAATATTTAAAT